ACACATTTGTCAAGTCCAACCTCAAGCATTAAGTAACCTATGCCCCACTTCTGATGGCCTCAGATTGGGAACTGTGAGCCAGAGAAAGAGAAAGGAGACTGGCAAGACTCCGGGGTTTTCAGAGACAGTGGAAAAGAACAGTTTTTCTGGCTTCCTGTTTCGTGTTTTCTGCATCGTGTATCATCCCAGCTAAGAAAGAGGTCAAGCCCCACTACCTATTGTGTTTCTTCTTTTCTAAATCTGGGTTACTTTTAACATAAAACTAAAGTACAGCCAGGTTAGGACCACTCAGGATTCCCTCTCTGAAAGCAGCGTGTGCATGGTAAGGTAGTATGAAGACTGAGAGAGAGTGATTCAAAGCTTGGTGTGCTGCCGGGCTGCCAGTAACCCACAAAGGCCAACTCTTTCTCTTATTGTTCTTGGTATTTTGTACGTATTTAATAGACAGTTTACATTTGAATTCATGTTTTAGTAAAAGCCAGTTTTTCGCCATACATGGATGAATTGAGAGCCATGTTTTTTCACTTGACTAGTTTAAATTTTTCATTTTGAATTTTTGGTTTTGTTCTTAATCAGGTTGTAATTTGTTTAATGAGTTAGGAGGCAAATTCACAACACCAATATCCCACCAATTCCTTCGAGTATCTCCTCTTCTATCAAACATTGAATGAAAGTATTGGCTCATCACAGATTTTCCATAATTTTAGATAGATAGATAGATAGATAGATAGATAGATAGATAGATAGATAGATAGATAGAATACTGGATGGGTAGATTGATGGATGGTTCCTGATTTGCTCCGAGTTGATTTGACAGAAGCCATAGAGGAGAGGCTGGGGAATTAGGGATAACACAGCTCCCGGCTCCCAGGTCACAGTGGAGAGAAAGAGAAAATATAAGCAAGGATGGAAGAGAGGGAGGACAGGAGTGGAACGAGGAGCTTTAGTCAAAGACTGGAAGAGACAGTGTATAAACCCCAAAACAGGGGCTGTTCTTGGACCAGGGAACATCCCTGGGGATGCACATCCCAAGAAGGGCAGGGTTGTGAAGGTTCTGACACGCTAGGCACTAGGAGTCTCTTGGGTCCATGTGGCTTGTTCTTTTTTCTCAATTCCAAATCAGAATTAAATTGACATGAATTGTTGGAGTTCTGTTCTATATTCCATGAGACCAACGGGGACTGCTTATGTAAAATTAAGTGAAATATAATGAAATGTGAAACAGTAATACACTGAATAAAGATAGTTATAATCTTTGCCTTCTTTTTACCTTACCAAATGGGTGACAGAGTTTCTTCAAGGTCAGGGTGTGTGTGAGTTATATGTTAGTATGTGATAGAAAAATCCACACATATCACTTGTGGTGTTGTCTAAAGTTTTCAGATTTCTAGCCCTATGCTAGTTGTGAAACAACACTGGAAGTCTTATGTATAGTAAAATGTCAAGACATTCTGTTCCCTACTCCCAGTCCAAATATTGCAACTCATGATCTAAACAAAAAAAATTCACAGTACATTTTGGCTTGACAGGCGTGACATTATATTTATGAGTGGGTGGTTTTATTTATTATCTCTATTCCTACTGCGATTGTTTTTTAGTATCCAATGGAGATTTGTTCTGAAACTCCTATGGATATCAAAACTGTGAATAGTCAAAGTCCTTGTGTAATATAATCCATATATATACTGTCCTCTATAATCATCATTTGTATATTACTAATGATACCTTATATGTTGTAAATGTTACACTAGTAATTGTCACTTTACACTGTTTAATAACGAATGACAAGAATGGAATCTGTATACATTGGATTATTTTTTAACATTTTCAGTATAGGATTGTTGAATCCACGAATACAGAATCTAGAGATATGAAGGACTAACATATTACCAAACACCTACAATGTGTTGAGTACAATGTACTGCATAGTACTGTTTGTCAAGAGAATAAGATAACCATGGTGTCTTACTTAGGGTTTCTATTGCTGTAAAGAGACACCATGACCATAGCAACTCTTATAAAGGAAAATATTTAATTAGGACTGGCTTATAATTTCAGAGGATTAGTCCATTATCATAGCAGAAACCAATGGCATACAGACAGACTTGGTGCTGGAGATGGAGCTGAGAGGTCTACATCTTGATCCACAGGCAGCAGAAGGAGACTGCATTCCACACTGGACAATGCTTGTGCATATAAGACCTCAAAGCCCACCTCCACAATGACATACTTCCTCCAACAAGGCCACACCTACTCCAATAAGGCCACATCAATTAATAGTGTCACTCCCTATGGGCCTATAGGATCCATTTTTATTTAAACTACCTTACATGGACTGCATTATTGAGAGAAACTATGAAACTGCTTTCTAAAAACTCAAAAAAATAGCATTCTGCATTTAATTATACACAGAGATAGCAACATGGAATCTTGATAATCATACCTAATGATACAAGGAAACCCAAAGAGAAACAAGTCATAGTCCTCCCTACTGCTGTCCCGTTGAGCTACAATGGAGAAATCATTAAGTCATCTGAGGGTCACTCTGAAGCCCAAGGCCAGTGCTATGTGCTTCTCATCATCTAATCCAATTCCTTACGCCTCACTTCTCTCCCCTTTTCTGGAGTCCTCTGGAGCTAGATCTGTAATTTTAAAAGTCTCCTCCATCCCATTACTCTGCTCCCTGTCCTGTCCTGGTTAAAATTTAGCTGCCCCTGGGGCCACTACTTTTCCTACAGCTTTATAAAGCTGTGTTCTCTTGCACACTTGGGATTTTACATAACTCCATTTAAACCCATCTGTGACTAGTCTTCTTGCAAAAACTCATAAACAAGGAAAAGAAGCTTGGATGCTAGATTAAGAGGCTTGGAGAGTCCCCTAACCTCCTCAGCAGTACTCATTTTGTGAGTGTAAATAAAAATTGCAGTCAGAATGACACTTGTGATTAACACCTTGCAATCTAAAAATCACCTGCTGGCTACAGCTAATAGAGATATATTATTATATAATGTGAATTTGCTAAGAGACTAGAACTCAAGTTTTCAGACCACACACACAACAATTACCATGTATGGTAATAGATATGTCAGCTAGCCTAGTCATGCCAATTATTTCACAATATACACAAACTTGAAATCATAAATGTTGTATGTTTTAACACAGATTTTTTTTTAATTTATCAGTTATACCTCTGTAACACTGAAAAAGAAAATCACCTTCCTCCTTTAGTCCTTACAAGACCCAACAGAAGTTGACAAGGGAGATACCACTGTGTCTGTTGGAAAAAAAAATGGGAAGCTCCAGCAGGACAGAAGGTGAAGTAATATGTGTAGGTCATTCCGTTGTGTGTGAAAATGTAGGTCAGGCCCACAATCAATCTTGACTCAATCTTGGCACTGTGTTGCACTGGGATGCCACAGTGACTGCACTCTGCTCGGTCTCTGAAACCTGAATTCGTCCAGTGCCCCCAGCAGCAGCTCTGACTAAGACTCTGGAAAACATGAGGCAGACTTTTACCCAGTCGTTGGCATTTAGATGCAACAGAGGAAGAAGCCATGCTCAAAAAGGAGGTCAAAACAGTGTTTCCTGGGTTATATCAGGGCTGTTCACTCCCTAATAGCCAGTGATCTCATCAGATAGTCACCACCAAATAGGTCCTATAGAAAGAAAAGAATAAATCTCTCCAACAGCTTGTCGCAAGTAGGTCTCATGTTTGTGGTCAACACCACCGTGGCAAGAGCAGGTCCTTGCACCAAGTACTCCTAGTCTAATGTGTATCAATCAGGACTACTTTTTCTAAATGAACATGACCTGTTCCTGAAATCACAAATCTCATGAGATATTAATTCCATGTTGTAATAGAAACCCAAGTGTGAGAGCACTTAGGCTGAGGAGTCTTCCTATAAATGAGCTAGCAACTTCTCTCTCCACTGCCCAGAAGAAATATTAAACCAAAAGATGAAACAGTAGGGCTGGAGAGATGGTTCAGTGGTTAAGAGCACTGACTGCTCTTCCAGAGGTCCTGAGTTCAATTCCCAGCAACCACATGGTGGCTGATAACCATCTGTAGGAGGATCCAATGTCCTCTTCTGGTGTGTCTGAAGACAGCTACAGTGTACTCATATACATAAAATGAATAAATAAACATTTTTTAAAGATGAAACACTAATAAACCCAATATTATTTTTTCGAGACAATGATATCTAATAGGCATAAATTTCCAATAAGTCATGTCAAGCAGCTCACTGGACTTGGCCTTCATCTACTAAGGCTGTGTTTCTTAGTTTTCTAGCTTTCAGAATCACAATCATCTGGGGTGCTTGCTGAAAATGCAGATTCCTGGGCATCATCTCATAGTCCTGAGTGAAGTTGTCTATGAGATGGATGTGGAGATCCATATTTTCAATGAGTTTACTAACTGTTCTACTGTTCCTGGTGTCTGGGGAACATCTTTACCAAGACAACAGTGGCCTCATGGGGTAGCTTTTTTCAGCCTTGTTTATGTCTTGTCGGAAAATAACACATGAATGTATGGAGTGGAATGACTCCAAGCCTCAATACCTGGAGATGGTAACAGTAGGCTTTAGAAGTTCCCAGACACAGAGTGATTCTGCTCTCTGTTGCGTTGGGAGTAAGATTTCTGCTTGGATCTCGGATGACCACAGGTTACAGAGAAGGCAGGTCCTATCTCAGCCTTGCTGTTACTCCTACTGTCTGAATGGTGGCTCATGGGGAGCCCAAAGCCCACATTAGATACACTAAAGTTGATGTGATTGGCTATGAAGCCCTGGGTCTCTACGCTCTCCGATTTACATACCTAAAGGAGTAAATAAAGGTCTACTTCTAGGAGTTGCTGATCGAGCCCTGTGGCAAAAATAAGAGGAAGTACACAGGCTGTCCTTACCTCTCATCCTGACCTTGCCTTGTATCCAGTTCTGGCAGGATTCTCTCCAGGAGGTAATAATCATACATTCTTTCCTCCTTCTTTCCCTGCTCTACAGGTTTGGAATAAATTGCCTCATCCAGTTTGAAGACTTTGCCAATGCCAATGCCTTCCGTCTACTCAACAAATACCGCAACAAGTACTGCATGTTCAACGATGACATCCAAGGTATGTTTTCACCTAACAAAATCACTGGGTAATAATGCTTTTTCACAAGGCTCACCCAGATGCCAAAAGCAGGAGGGAAATGTCATCTCATAGCTGGTGTGCTGCCAGATGCTGTTAAAGAAACAATATTAGACTTGGAGTCAACTTCTCCTTGGCTGATTCTTAGCTCTGTGACCTTGAACATATCTCGACATTTGCTAAGCTCTGATGTGCTTAAGCACCAAATGGAAATCATTACTACTTCAGAGGGAGGTAAGAACTGCATGATTTAATATCTGTAAGAGGTTTTATATACTATTGTCAGTTATTAGCTACCTGAATTTGGAAAATCTCGTCTCTGACTCTAATTTTATTATCTGTTCTAAGATGGAAATAACTACATCAGAAAAGTATTGTAAAGATTTCAAGGGACAGGGCTGGGAGGCTGGAAGCCTCAGTGGATAAAAAGCACTTGCTTCCTAACCATGAAGACTTGCATTGAATTCTACATGAACTTTTGTAACTGCACATACCTGTAACCCCAGTGTGGCTGGTACAGGAGGATCACTGAGATTTTCTGGCCTCCAGACTAGCTCTAGTTTCAATGAGAGGTCACACACATCTCAATGAAATAAGATACAGAGATCCAATGTCCTCCTCTGTTTGTAGGCATACTGGCACCATGTGCATATACCACACATACACACACACACATACACACCTGTGTGTATACTCAGAGAGAGAGCTTATACAAAGAAAATATTACATTATGACTTATCAGATCAAAACATCCCTTGTCAGCCATTATGAGTCCTTCCCTAAGCTTGGCTAACATGTGCTGCTGAGAAACACTGTTAACCAGAGACACAGAGTATTTCAAAAGTGAATGTAAAGCATCATTTTACTCCATGTCCCTTGGTCACCTGACCCAGAGCTTTAAACCAAAAGAAGTTGCATGCTGGTTTGGAGGTACCCATATCTGAAGCTGGAGTAGAACAGAGGCTTCTCAGCAGTCCTCTTATCTAACTCCAGAGGTCCCAGTAGAAGTGGTTCCTAAGGTTTTGTTAGGCCCAATAGAAACCTTGATGGGTCCACAAATCTTGCTACTTAGCAAATGAAGTTTGGTGAGCCAAGTCTATCAAAGCAGAGGTCCATGTCTGATGAAAAGGACGAACTGATGTGGAATGGTCTTGTTCTTGAGGAAAAGTTGACTACATTCTACAGATGATTGCTCACACCCAAAATGTTCAACTTCATGGTGTCAGTTAGAGATAGACTAGAGAGAATATAAACTCACTTTAAAGTTTATCCCTGAATGTTTGTGACATACTAGGCACTATCCTGAGAACTGTACACAATTTAATCCTGTGAGATATTAGTATCAGTGTCTTATAAATGAAGAAACTGAGGCACAAAGAGAATAAGTAACTTATTGAACCAGGAAGTGTTCAATTGAAAGTTTATCTCGGATATCTGGACTCTAAATTCCACATTCATAACCACTTACCATACTGCTCTAGGTCTAAAATCACAAAGCCAAGTGCTTCTTTTCTTTGTGGTCCATGTTATAGGATAGCAGAAATATGAGGAATGATTTTGTGGGGAATTTATTGTGAGTTTTCAAGCGATGATATAACACAGTTATAGCAAACTTTAGAGAATTGAGTTCTAATGTAGGATTTCAGGGCCTAGAAAGTAGATGCCCAGAGAAATGGAGACCCTGAAGAGAAAGCTCAGTATCTCATACTGTCTCTCCAGTCCCTCTGAAGCCTGCACCTGAAATAGGCATTGGTGGGCAATGCCAATCTTGTTCCAACAAGCTAGGTCCTCTGCAGCTGCAGGAGTACAGTCCAAGAAGACCAGCTGGAGGTGGAAGAGCATTCTCTCACTGGCTGCCAGTCAACTCACAGGCAACCTGTGCCTATGGCCTTGGAGGAAGCACCTGCTGACTAGTCATCATGCTACTCACACATGAATCAGCAACAGGACAGCCATCTTCTGAGTCCCTTGGGCTGCCAAGTGGAAAATAGGCCTATGCAGGCAGACCAGGTGCACAGACTCCAGATGTACAGGCAGACAGACTCATGTGTGTGCATCCTCATAAACACACACAGGAACACAGCAAGCCCTGCTGCCCTTCTACCTCTGTCTCCCACAGACTGATGCCACAGTGTTCCTCCAAGGTGGAAACATGACTCACTGTGCAAGCCATCCCTTTGTGAGAAACTTTGCACATGCTGAAACACATGGGCTGGAAAGAAAGGACCTTTTCTCTGTCTTCTACTCATCTCTTCAGTTTGGTTGGTGTTTTTTTTTTTTTTAACAGTCTCTTGTAGCCAAGTCTGCTCTCAAACTCCTATTCCTCTTGCCTCTACTTTCCAAGTGCTGGAGGTACAGATGAGTGCCACCATTTCCTATCACCTTGACTTCAGGAATTCCTTTATCAGTCAAGGCTCACCTCAATGGTTGGCCTGTCCCCAGAATGGTCTGATTTGGGTACCTATGCAGGCACTCTCCTCCATCTGCTCTTACATTGGTCCATTCTAAGCTGGTTCCCATAGTGTGGTGGTTATTACGGTCACTTCACAGTGATTGGCTCTACATGACTATAACTGAGAACAGGGCTTAAGGAAGGCAAAATTTTCTTGTGTGTGCAGTTTGAGAGATTTCAATCCACAATCTGTTGTTTCTAGGCCTCTGGTAAGTCTGAGCATCATGGCAGGAGGTGGGGCAGAGCTATTGGCCCAATGGCAACAGAAAGTAATGAGAAAAGAGCAAAAGGGTGTCAGGACCAGATACATCCTTGAAACACATGCCCTTGGCAACCATTTTCTCCAACCAGGCCCTGCTTCCTAATTTTCACCATTTCTAGCATCACCCTCAAATTCTGAGTCCATCAATAAGCTCATTGATGAATCAAAGCTCTCAGGACCCAATCACCTCTCAATGACTGGATCTACCAACAAGGACCAACAGGTGAGCTTTTTAAAAGTGCATCATATCCAAACCAATGAACTCTAGATGCTTCTGTTGCATTCTCTGCCTCTCACTAAACAACCAGCTTTTGGAGTCAAGAACTATGGCTTACTTATTTTTGATCCCCAGTTCTCAACACAGTGATTGGCACATTGTAGTAAGAATGGATGAATGGTATTTGCACATACAAACGACATGTTCAGCATCATACCTATCCCTAGAGAGAGTCGATGCTGGTCCCTACCTTGCAGCCTCTCTTTCCTGATCATACAAATTCACTGTACATGTGCTCATACTCAGATGTTTGACACATGTACACATATGCATAATTGCATATGAATGAACAATTTTTTAATTAAATCAATTCATTTGTTTAGATTCATTGTTCTGGTACACACACACACACACACAAATGAAATACAAATTTCCTAATTTTTTTCTCAGAAATTAAGACTGAAGTCATGAATTTAGAATTTCTGAGAAGAGCTGGTAGGCAGACCAAGAATGACAGAATCTCTATCAGATTATTGCAGTCTTGGGTGATCACAGCTCAATATGTAGATGTGCCCATATAACTAATCAAAATGTGAGGAGGTTGGCATGGCGATCCACCCACATCTTCCTTCAAGGGAAGACAAGTTGTTTTCACTGATGCAGGCAGAGCCTCAGTTACAGAAAATACCTAACTCTTTCTGTCCTGCCACACGCTACCCTCCCAAATGATAAAGGGTTTCTATTCATTCCATTCCTGTCCTGAGCTGAGCTCCTAGTGGAATTAGCTGAGGATCTGAGGTCCATACTGAGTCTCAATATCCTTCTTTGCCTCTGTGTACACAACCACAAGCTTAGACAGGCACACTCCATCCCAGCAAGACATGGGAATAGTGTCAGAATCTGCCTGTGACCCACATACTGAAAGGACTGGTACAAAGTGGCCCCCGTGGAAATGAAGCTAGAACCATCTGCCTGCTTTCAGCATAAGCCCTGCCTCATATGTAGTGGAACAGGGAAAGATGGAAGCACAGTCCTCAGGAGCCCCCCAGGCTGAGCTTCCAGTGAACATCAAGCACCTTGTTTGTATTGTCTGAATCACAGAACCCATGTCGTTCACGGTGTTGAAGTCTGGAACCACAGCACAAAACGACTTCCTTCTGTCTGTCTCCTCTGTCCTCACCCCAACTCTGGCTCACAGGAATCCTCAACCCAGGCTAGGCTGGCTGGTTCTTGGTGAACAGGGCTGCCGATGCTCTGACTCATTGCTGGCAGCCTCTTCAGGAATTTTGGACTAGGCAGAGGCTCAGGTGACTTTTGTTGTTTCAGCTGGGAACATCCCTGCTCTTGGGGGAGAAGAGAGAGACAGGAAAGGGGAAGAGCAGTGAGGATGGTCATACTGCAGACAGACTAATTTTGACCTCGGGAAGGATAGCTTGCACGAAAGAAGTCAGGTACAGAATGCTGCTGACCGAGTGACCTTGGGCCCTGTCCTCTGCTGCAAGCTAACCACATGGTGTGACTGACAAAAAAAAAAAACTGGCACCACAACTCCAGAACACACTGCACATGACCAGCCTTACCCTCTAGTACTAAATCTTCAAGGACCAATAACCTGAGAGGATGCTTGTATGCTATGTCACCCTTTCACAATTTTTGTTTGTTTGTTTTTGTTTGTTCTCAAGATAGGGTGTCCCGGTATAGCTCAGGCTAACCTTGAACTTGAGGTGATCTTTCTGCCTTCACTGCCTTTCTGCTGCTTGGAATCACAGAACTGCATGCCACTAAGCCTGGTACCCTTTTGTACTTTCAAGTTTCAGTGTCTAAGCCAGACTATTTAACAGAAATCAGATTGAGATGGGTCTGTCTCTGAATCCTCACTGTTCTGCTCTGTGACTGTAGCCAAGTGGTATATATATTCACAGAGCAGTCTTTATCCTTCCTCTCAAACAATTTAGCAGCCATGACTAATGATCAGCAAGTATCAGAGCACCCTGTATGCTTTTCTCAAGCCAGCACTTCCTACAGTGAGTTGAAATCTATGCCAATTCACT